CAACGGATCAATATTAAGCGCCCGGGACTCGGCTTTGCCCTCGAGGAGACTGAACTCGATCTCACCTACTCTGCTTATTTGCATTTCATGTATAAAATGATTTAAATTAAAGTATTGATACTCGGATAAACTACTCGGATAAAACTACTCGGATAAAACTACTCGGATAAAACTACTACTATAACGTGAACTTATATAATGTTACATTATATAATTAATGTTACATTATTAATGTAAAATTCAGTATGTTTTACAAATTTCTTTATTATTAATTTATAAATTCAATCGTCAAATATTATAATTACTAAATTATAAATAAATAATTAAATATAACTACAATTAAAATACTATTACAATATTATGCATAATAATACAGATGTTTAATGTCGTCAAACATTAGTGTTTGTAAGCCATCTCTGGAAGGAATGATAGCTCTGACGGGTTTATAGTTTTCAATGGGCGCCGGAGTCATCACCGGTTTCGGTGTGGCTGTAGTTGTGGTCATTGCGACCACTCTTTGTCCAAATTTCTTACGGACAGTCGATTTGAACAACGGATAGGAAATGTGATTAACTTTAGTAGTTTTCTCAAAATACAAGAGACTTTTCGTGGTTTTTCGTCCAAATAATCTAACCGTTGGTTTTGGGGATTGTTTAACAGTAGGACTGGTGGTAATGAATGCCGGTGTTGTGGCACTTGTGGTCATTTTTGTGGCCTCAGTAGTAGTAGTAGTTGTAGTATATGTTATAAGAGGAGTTGGTGTGGTGTTTGCCACAGTACTGGTGCTCATAGTCATCGCTTTAATTTGATTGTCGTAGTTATCATTATTATAAAATCGTGGCATCGGATACATCATTGAATACATGTCACGATTGGGCGGCGACTCGTCGGCGGCGGCACTCGTATCGGCGTAAGGGATAGGAGGCCTGTGTTTAGGCGCCAAAGTTGTCAATAGTTTGATATCGTATTCAACGAAAGGTTTTGGTGTCTTATATTTCACCGGTTTGTGTTGAGAGCGAGTGATTGGCTGATGATTAGGACTGTAATACTTATGCGTTTTGCTGGCGGTCATTGTCTGATCCATTGACTGATGATTGGGTTCCATATGATAGACACTTGGGTTGTGAAGCGTTGACTTTACAGTGGGTTTTACATTCATGGGTTGTATGGGTTGAAAGCTATCAGCGAGCTGTGGGGGCGGATGCCTGACAACTGGTGGCGGCGGTGGAGGGTATGGTTGATGTTGTGGTGTGTGATAGCGATACGACACGGGAGGCATTGGACGCAATCGAGACAGTGGTCTCAAAATCTGCGGTAAAATGTGTCGGAGCGGATGAATGGGTGCAAAACGTGCTGAAATTTGACCGTTTGTCGGTAGGTCACGATTAGCCGGCACTCTCACCACCATCACTGGCCGCCTAATTTGTATTGGCTGGACATTAAAATTAGTAAACGTGGTAATAATGTATTACAATGTTTTGTATAGTTTACCGATCCGTTGAACATTAAATATGCCGGTAATCTAAAAGCGGCCAAAACTGCTGCGGCCGACACTAAACTCAAGATCGGAGCCTTTAATTATAATAAATGTGACTTAAAATATATAATAATTAATTTATTGAGATTATCCCAAAACAACTTACGGCTGCCATCGATATAATTTGTGGATTGAAAAATTCATTTAGATTTCATTCATGAAATCCATTCAATTATAGTTTATATTCAAAATAAAATCAATAGATTATTGTGTTTTGAAAAGTTATCATAACTTGCTTTTAAGTGTGACTTATATTGTTAACAATAAATGAGAATATGATTTAGTTTTGTTTGCTCTCAATTTTCCAATACTTTTTTTAATGACCAGTGATTTAACATAATTTGTTTGCCGCTTGTAATCAAGGTTTTGGTCAAAAGTTTTAGTTTATCATTCAATTACAATGCAATTTGATTTAACGTTAATATTTCTATTATTGTCTAATATTTTACATCTCAAGACCTTTCTGTGGGAAAATAATAATTGTTTTGTGATATTTGGAGCAAACATTAAAAATAATAATAAATCTAAACACTAGTGACTAAACAATAATTTTAAAAGTTTATATTCGTAATAATAAAAATTCATTAAATTATTAATTTAATATTTGATTTAAAACTAATGTATAATTATTAAAAGATTTATAATCTGTGTGCATTAATAAGAATTGACTTTTATATGGTTGGCATCCAATTCATGGATGAATTTCTGATTCTTGTGATACAAAAACAAAACTTTCCATTAGACACATGTAACTTATGATCATATTTTCATAAATACATTTGTTATCATTGTTTTCCATGAGTTTTAATTACTGTACAATAGACCTAAATATGGTAAGAGCACATCATCACCAACTTTGCTAGACTTCACACAATCACTACATCGGATCCACATCTTTGAACAACAATATGAGGTATTGTTTTTTAATTTATGTTTTAAATTACTATTAAATCAAATTAAACCACATGAGACTCGTATTATATTGACAAATGAAAAGCACCATGCACCACTCATTGTTCGCAATTGTTTTAAAGTATTTTAATTGAGATTTAGCAAAATTAGTGTATCAATTAATATGAGTTACCCAAACAAACATATTTAACATAGTCGGTATTTAGCCTGAAGGCGGTCGGCCTCCGGGGGTCCGCTCGAGCCGAACACATACTTAAAGGGCTGTACTCTATGTTCATCGATATAGTGAAGTGAAGGCGTGAATATACGCCACGACTCACTCAACTCATCCGTACGGACAAAGTTAACCTGAGATCCGTCCAACACATCCATCAATAGCCTCTCGTACGCGTCCGGCAATACGGCTCTCTATTGTAGCCAAAAAGTAACCATAATTTAAAATTTTAATCAACACGATACTCCCGTGATCTTACGTGATATCTAGTAGAGTAGGTGAGATCGAGTTCAGTCTCCTCGAGGGCAAAGCCGAGTCCCGGGCGCTTAATATTGATCCGTTGATAGATTGCTTCGTTTGGCTGCAATCGCCACACAATCCGATTGGGTTTGGATTGACCGCCAAAGAGGTCACTGCTCTGATCGTAACCCTTGAACTCAACCCTAACCTCAACCCGACTCTCGTTGAGAGCCTTTCCCGAGCGTATGAAGAAAGGGACGCCTCGCCAGCGGTCGCTATTGATGTGCAAAACTACTAACGAAAACGTGGCTGCGGTCGAGTCGGCCGGCACTCCCGGGTCGTCTAAATACCCGAGCGCTGACTCGCCCTCTCCTTTAGGATTTCCCACGTATTGACCCAAAACAATGTCCTTCACATCCAATACCTCTATTTGTTTCAATAATTTAACCTAAATATTTCAAATAGTTATTAGCGCTAGATTATTTTCATATAGAATTATCCCACCTTCTCATCCCTGATCTTATTGGCATCATTAGCGGCGGGTCTGTCCATAGCGACCAAACACAGCACTTGTAGCAAATGATTTTGCACGACATCCCTAATGATACCGAACTGATCAAAATAGCCGCCCCTTCCCTGTGCGCCGAACGGCTCCTTAAACAGTATCTCAACGCTAGAAATGGACTCATTATTCCAGTTGTATTTGAATAATGTGTTTGAAAATCTAATGGCCATAATATTCTGCACCATCTCTTTGCCCAAATAGTGGTCAATGCGATAGAGTTGGTCCTCAGAGAACAGTTTGGACAGCGCTTCCGACAGTTGGTCAGAGGATTGGCTGTCGCGACCGAACGGCTTCTCAAACACCAGTCGACTCCAACCACTGGTTCATTGAAAGTGAATTAAATGTTTGTTAAAACAAAAGTTTGTTGTGTGGCTGAGATGTGACATACGTTTGCGACATAAGTGTCGACTGAAGTGCCGAAGCGGTGACGGCGTAAACACTGGGCGGAAGGGCTAAGTAGAAGAGTCTGTGGGACACATCATAATAGGACTCTATTTTCTTCAAATGACTGTCTACTGCCATATAATCACTCGTATTATCGGTATTTCCCGCAATGTATTGATTGATTTGCCAGAACTGGTCGTATTTGGTTCTCTCTTCGTTGTCTTTGAGGGCCACATACGGGTCGACAGAGCGGCGGATATCGTCGACCGTTTTCTTAGAGCGCGCGTAACCAATGATATGAATGTTTTGTGGCAATAGTTTCTTGAGATAGAGTGCGCTTTCGTTGTGTTCATTATATTTATTGAGTTTGATTTACATAATTATCAAAATGATAACTTTATTAAATTATATTTGTTAATACAGTACTTACAATAAAGTTGGCATCAGTTTCTTTCTCGCCAAATCGCCCTGTTTATAATTATAAATTATAAGTTTTAATCACTCTAACTCGTAAGTGATTTTGGTACTATCAAGCTTACCGTAATACCAAGCACAATAAAAGTATAATGTTCATTATTAGTTAGATATTGGGGCAATTCTGGTGTTATTTTATCCATTGTTTTTACAATAATTATTGATTTTATTATTGGATAATTTAAAAAATGTAAAAATTATATGAAAATCAATTTAAAATAGTTGTGTTGTTTGTTATATACTTGTTATGTAAATAAATTTAGGGAACGGATGGTTGGTATCAATAAAAATGTTTGTTCACTAATTTATATAACAAATTATCAATAATTTAATACAGTATTTTTAAAACCATAACATTTCAATTTATATGTAAACTTCATTAGATTTAGGAAATCCTTTGTGTTTTAAATTATTGTTATTAAATTAGTCAATAATTAACAAATATCGACAAAATGCTAGGTGCTTGTTTAGCTTTCTTAATTAATAATGGTAAGAAGAAATTAAATTTTTACAATAATCGATAATTATAATACAATAACATAAAGTTAAATATGTAAAACTTGGGTAAATGTACAAGAGGCTAAAATAAATGTATACTTAAATAAAGTACTATTAAATAGAGTATTAATTAAGCAAAACATTAAATACAATTGGTGTGAACATTAATGAAATGAGTAGTAAATTACAAATGAGAAAGTGTTGAACAATATGTGTTTGTGCGGCGGATCTGAACCACATGTCTTCGGATTGAGACAAATGTGCAAAAATGGCTTCAATGCCGGCCCAAACCTCTTCGGCGGTGGGCTTTATTTGCCATCCCGGTAGCAAAAAATGATACTGACCTAGGTCTCGTAACTCAACCGCAAAATTGATTCTAACGCCCAATTTATCGTAAACCCAATCATTGCTTATACCGGAGGAAACGTCTAACAGTATAACTAATTTATTAGCAATTAATTAACATTAATAATATTTGCTTTACATATCAGATCCGATGCATCGCCGTATGCATAGCTCTTATTATGGGTTTGTCTGATAGCCTTTGTCGCTATATGTGATAGATTTCTCTACAAAATATAATGAAATACATTAGAAAACAATAGCATTTAAATGACATAATAAATTACAAAGAAATAGTGATCACTTGGTTGACAGTCTGTATAGCTGTAGGGATACGTCCAGATCTGGCCGTAAGAGTGAAACGCGAAATACGCGATCATTTTGTGCGATATTTGAGTCAAATAATTGCTTAACGCTTTTGTCTCCTGAGCCGAGAAGGGCTTCTTTCCACACGCGATGTCATAATTGCACGAATCGTTTGACGACTTGTGTTGGCAAAAGTGTTTTGTGTCCCAACTATTTGTGATGAGATTTTTAATTATAAATTTTGGCATTTAAATCGCTATCAAAACTATTAGACCTAAAGTTTTATAAATTCATAATAAAAACATTACTTTCTGTTCAGATCAATACCATAGCAATCCTTTGGCGATAATTTTTGTCTGTTTTTACGCCAATACCTGTCTTCAGTCCACGTGAATTCATAACTGTTATAAAAAAATACAGTGTGTCATATTTTAAATGACCTTAGCGTAACAATAGTAGTGATACCCGTCCGGATTAATTGTGGGCACAATAACAAATTGATATTGGTTAAGTAGCCAGGACCTCTCATGGACTAAGTGCCGGATGAAATATAAACAAATAGCCGGTGAAATCCATTCGCGGGCGTGAATACCGCACTCAAACACAATGATTTTGTTGCTATCATTTGTGGCAATTTTAATGGCATAGATGTGTCGCTCTTCGTACGTCAATCCCAGCGAAAACAATGTCGTTATGTTTGCAAACAGTTGTGACAATAGTTTTAATTCGGCGTAAATTTCATCCAATTTATGGTATGTTTCGTAATTAAATTGTTCGCCAATTTTCATTGTACTGACGGCTCGATTCCGGTATATATTCTCCTTCTCTTCCATACTTTCGTTGTGGACATAAAAAGTAATGTTTTGTTTATTATAGTCGTTGATAAACTGGCGGACGTGTGTCGGCGGCAACAATAGCTTAAACACATTTCTATCATGACTTTTATTAGAACTTTTGTCAGGATTTTCAATCAAACCAAACGTAAAGTCAATCTTCAGCAACAATGATGTGTTTAAGGGATAAAAATAAAGTAAATATGATTTTTATATAAGTTTTTGCCAACTTTTTTTATGACATACATTATTTTTAATACAATTATTCCATGCAAACGCTGTGACTGAGTGTTTCTCGACGCGAGTGGTTATTGTGGCCACACTATAGCCACGAAGATCTTTATTATCGGCACAACTAAAACAAATTGAGCTCAAAATAATGAGAAAAGCAAATGATATGATTTGCATCTTATTTATGAATTTTTAAT